TTTACTTGATTCTCTTGATTTCATACACTTCCTAGGTTTTTAGTTTTTTTTTTTTTTGAATGTTCTTTGTGTTCATCATGTTCTTCATGGTCTTCATGTACTCTGGCAGTTCGAGTGTTTGATCTTCAAATATCTTTATCCTGTTCTAATAGTTGTTTCTCACATTCATCACGACCTCGATTTGATCGCACTTATTTGTTAACAACGCACCAATCACGACTTATTTTAAAATGCCCTCTAGATTTCTTTCCCGACACAGTTAGTCGTTTGGATGATGAGGCCTTTGAATCCTCTTATTCTTCTGTTCAAATAATTGGTTTTGAACCAGTTCACGATCAGGGAAATCCTTCACGTGATTCAGATAGTGACACCACTTGGGAGGTCGACTGGGAAGATTACAATCGTGCTTTGTGGTCGAGCTTCTCCTTGACTCGAACTTATCCCTTGAGGTATACCCCTTGGGTTTTTTTAGATATTCATGTGTATATGACTAGTTCACTTCATGTACCAATAATTGCCCATTTTTGTCGACTTTCATACTCCTGTTGCAACAATAGCATTTCTTGTAGCTAAAATAGCCACTCAATATCCTTTTTCTTTTGCCCCCTACAGCTGAGCTTGGGGGTTTTAGGTCGTAATATGAGTTGCCCTCTGATTGGGACCTGATCGCTCCTGGTCCTAACGACTATTATGCTCACTGTCCTCGCGGTTGTTATACCTTTTTCATGGACCATGTCATGTTTGGTCTTCGTTTTTCCATTTAACCCCAGTCGTTTACCCTTTAGCGACTTGTATCATGTCCCTATGAATCAATTCTCTCATAATTCCATTTGTATCATGGTAGCCTTTATCATGATATCGAAAAAAAAAACCTTCATGAGTTTTCACCCGAATATGTCTGTCATTGTTATGGTTACAAGTTCGTAAAAAGAGCTCACTGATTAGTTCGTCGCAGCGGGGCTACATTTTTAGATGACCTCGCCTCAAACGTTACTGAATGGAAATTGAAATTCTTTTTATTCGTCCTCCTCCGAGATATTATTCTTTTACCAACACTTGTTTAACTGAGAAGGTACACAAAAAAAAAAAATTGACTCGGGCCAGGAATACCTGAACATAAAATAAGCAACAAACTAATGTTACAAATATAAGGACCATTTCATTGTTAAATCCAGGTAGTCAAATCATTCCAAAGACACTAAACAATATCTTCTTGCCTGCACATCTTGTAATGAACATTAATCAGGTAAAATCACACTCAAGACAATGAAAAAAAATCCTTACCTAATAAGATTTATGGGCACTAAGAGACATGTATGCATACCTAGACTTCTTGCGAGATTCCTAATGAAATTTTAAAAACAAAGACATGATAAAAACCAAGAACAATGAAGAACAATTTTCCAGATTCAATGGCAGCTGCAATAATTCACATAAAACCTAGAGAGAGATATTACAATACAAGGTCCAATACTTATACTACTTATCAATGGTGGATGAAGATAATGTTGGTACAGTTAAAAGCTTGATCCTACGGTTGAGATATTTTTGAACTGGAGTTTCTCTCACTCCATGCAGATAAGGCTGCATGGCCATAAATGCCTTTGTCTTCATGCAGCAAGTCCTTTTCTTGATCTATTGACCAAGTGTGAGATGCCACATCGGTCTCCAAGTCATCTGCCAACATAGCAGGTTTGCTAACACTCCCCCTCAATTCAATCGAGGTCTTGCTTGTGACTCCCAACTTATTTCTTAACCGAGAGAATAATTGCAATGAAAGTGGTTTAGTAAATAGATCTGCTATCTGTTCAACTGAGGTATGTGGCAAACTAGAAGATCTCCTCTTTCAACTCCTTCTCTAACAAAATGATAGTCAAGCTCTACATGCTTAGTTCTCCCATGCATGATTGACTTTGAAGCAAAAAATACTACACTTTGATTATCTACCCACACAACATGAGTCTTGAATGGTTTAAGTCCTATTTCAGTAAGAAAAGAGTTGATCCAGGTTACCTCAGAGGATGCATGTGCAAGGCTTCTGTACTCTGCCTTGGTGCTTGATCTAGACACTGAAGTTTGCTTTTTAGAGCACCAAGATATCCAATTTTCTCCAAGGAAAACACAGTAGCCAGTGGTTGATCTGATGTCATCAATGTCTGCCCCCCAATCTGAATCTGAGAAGGCTCTAATGTCAAGGTCTCTAGACTTCTTAAAATGCAGCTCATGGTCTATAGTCCCTGCCAAGTATCTTAAGATTCTTTTCACAGCCTTCCAGTGTGTATCCAAGGGGCAAGACATATACTGGCTGACTTTATTAACTGCATAGCTAATTTCTGGTCTAGTTAGAGTGATGTATTGTAGAGTTCCTACCACACTCCTATATAAAGTGCCATCAACAGTGGGATCTCCATCTTTTTTGGACAAGTGAAGAGAAGAGATCATGGGTGTAGGAACTCCTTTTGCATCATGCATCTTCATTCTTTTCAGAAGCTCCAATATGTACTTCTCTTGGCTTAAGTGCAAACCATCTACAGTTTTGGTTACTTGAACACCAAGAAAATGTTCTAGCTCTCCAAGATCTTTAATGGCAAGCATATTTCCAAAACTCCTTACAAACTTGTCTATCTTAGTGTTGTGAGTCCCTGTGACAAGAATGTCATCAACATATATCAACACAAACAGCAAAACACCTTGACTGTTTTTTGTAAAATAGAGAGCTATCAGCTTTAGAATCACTGAAGCCCATCAATTTTAGAGCTTCCTTAACTTGCTAAATCAGGCTCTAGATGCCTGTTTCAATCCATATAAGGCCTTGGTTAATTTGCAGACCAAAATGTTTATTTCCCATTTTCTCAAAACCTGGTGGTTGTCTCATGTAGATGACTTTACTGAGGTCTCCATGAAGAAAGGCATTGCTCACATCTAACTGCCTTATCTTCCATCTTTGTTGTATGGCCAAGATGAGCATTATCCTTATTGTGTTATGCTTCACAACTGGGCTAAAAGTCTCTGTGAAGTCAAAGCCTGGTTTTTGTGAGTACCCTTGGGCTACTAGTCTGTCCTTGTGCTTCAATATGCTGCCATCTGGTCTTCTTTTGATTTTAAAGACCCATTTACACCCCCACAATATTCTTTCCATCAGGAGGTGCAACAAGACACCAAGTTTTATTCCTTTCTAAAGCATTTATCTCTTCTTTCATTGTTGCTTTCCATTCCTTTAACAGTAATGCCTGATCAAAAGATCTTGGTTCTCTTTTTTCTTCTTGTACCAGATATGCCTTTGGTTTGTATATACCAGCTCTTGCCCTTGTTATCATGTGGTGTTTTGTCATCCCTTCATTCTTGTCATTGGTTTCTGTCGGTTCTTCAATTTATGGTAGCTGTACCACCAAAGTAATGCCTGGGAGGCTACTGATTGAGTTGCTGCTTCTTGGAGTGCTTCTGCTTTGACTTGGTGTGTTATCTGGTGTGCTTGAAGGTGAGTTCAAATTTTGGCTCAAGTTTTGTGTTGCTTTCAGCCTTTCTGCATTATCATCCTTGACTAAAGTTGGGATACCATGAAGGTTGCAGGCTTCATCACCCTTGAGCTGATTTTCTTCACCATATCCTTTGTTTGCATAAGAGAACTTTGTTTCATCAAAATGCACATCTCCGGTTATTATAATTTTCCTGTTTGGCAGCAACACTTTGTATCCTTTATACTGGTTGTTGTATCCCAGAAACACACCTGCACAAGATCTATACTCCATTTTATGTCTGTTATAGGGCCTCATATAAGGGTAACATAGGCACCCAAAAACCTTCAATCTTCTGTAATCAGGCTTGTGGCCATATAGAACCTGTAAAGGAGACTTGAACTTCAATGGCCTGCTAGGTATTCTGTTTAGAAGATATGTGGCTGTGACAAATGCATCTCCCCAATAGCACAAAGGTAAATGGGAATGAGCTAAAAGTAAGAGACCCATATTCACAATATCTCTATGCTTTCTCTCTGCCGACCCATTCTGTTGAGGGGTATATGCACATGAAATTCTATGAGTAATGCCATTTTCTTGTAACAACTTAGCCAAGGCTTGATACTCACCTCCCCCATCACTCTGCAGGGCCTTGATCTTCCTATCAAATTGATTTTCAACTAGAGCTTTGAAACTAGTGAAAGCATTGATGACATCTGATTTGGCTTTTAACTAGTATATCCAAGTAAACCTTGAATAATCATCTATGAAGCTTACATAATATGAGTATCCATTTAAGGCTTTCACATGGCAAGGGCCTCAAACATCAGTATGAATTAATTCAAGAGGACAAGAAGATACATGCTCAGAATGATTAAAAGAAAGTGAATGACTTTTTGCCATCATATAAGAACTGCATAGAGAATCATCATCTTTGGATTTAAAATCCATATTACATAACCTTAAAGCTCTTTTGACATTTCATAATTAGCATGACCAAGTCTTTGGTGCCATAGTTCTAAACTATTACATTCACCAATCTTTGAAAAATAAGAAAAAGGCTGTAAGCCAAGAACTTGCTGATCCCCTTGAATAGATTTGGGAGACAAAAACTGAGGCTGCTTGTTCTTCACACACTGCAAGTTGAAGTGATACAATCCATCCTTAAGAACTCCCTTGAGCAAGACCTCTTGGGTTTCCTGGTCCTTTACAAAAACAAGAATTTGGATAAAATCCAAAGAACACTTTGTTGTCCTTTACAAACAGAGATACACTCAGTAAATTTCTACTGATCTTAGGCACATGTAATAAGTTTTTCAGAACATAAACTTTTGAGTGATTTGGATGTTGGATGAGAGAGTTACCAAAGTGAGAGATAGTGGCTGCCTCTCCATTCCCCATCAAGAGTTTGTTGTTTCCACTGTACTCAGCTGCAATGTTGAGATTTTCAAGCTCATTTATGACATGGTTAGAAGCCCCTGATTCAGGAAACTAGCTTGTCTCTGAGCCAATATCAGAATAGGTATTTGAGCCATGGACTTAAACCATATTCAGGCTGGGATTCCTTCTTTGAGGTTGCTGATTTTGATTTCCACTTTGGTTTGTAGGTGCTGTGTCATATCTGTACCAGCACTTATCTGCTGTGTGATTCATCCCTTGGCATATTTGACATTGTGGCCTACTACCTCCATTCCTTCCACGGCCTCTTCCTCTATAAGCACCTCTTCCACCTCTTCCACCTTAAAAGTTGTTCTTGTTACCTTTAAACTGGTTAAAGTTTTGGTTGTAGCTCCTTTTTGGATTCTGTGTGACCACATTGGCATAGGGCTGTGATCCCTCTGAGCTCACAACTGAACCTTGATTCATTTCCAGTCTAGATTCATAGGTCAGCAACAATGTATGGACTTCAGCTAAGGTGTGAGGAGGAAATCTTGAGGTGACATTCACCACGACTGAGTCATACTCAGATCCCAGACCAGTTAGAACATGAAGAATCTGATTTTGTTCTGACACTTTCTCACCAGCAATTTCTAGGATGTCACAGTGATTTTTGATCTTGTTGAGGTATTCTCTCATAGTCAGTCCAGCCTTTTTCATAGTTTGAAGTTTCAATTTATATTGCATTATCCTAGCTGAAGACTGACTTGCAATGTTATTCTCAATGGCTTCCCATATTTCTTGGGCAGTGTTTAACCCAACCATCATCACTAAGATTCCATCACTAAGAGAAGACATGAGCCAAGAAGCCAAAAGTTGGTCTTGTCTGACCCAATATATATAGATAATCTGGGTTTACCTAAACTTCATTAGACTGAGGATCTATGATTGTCTTGTCTGGCTTTTGAGTTTCTCCATTGATGTATCCTTTAACCCCGTAGCCTCGAATGGCAGTGATGACTTGTTGCTTCCAAATCAAGTAATCTGTCTCATCAAGCTTTGTAGAGATTAGCTGACTGTTAGGTTGGATCAAAGATCCCATAGCCGCTATGCTTGAGGTGGGAAGGATGGTTGTGGAGCTTGAGGATGAACTCATGGAGACTCTCTGTTTTTTTTTTTTTTTTTTTGAAGAACAAGAAAAAGAGATGATAATCAGAGGCAGTAATCAACCCGCTCTGATACCATTATGAAATTTTAAATACAAAGGCATGATAAAAACCAAGAACAATTAAGAACGATTTTCCAGATTCAATGGCAGCTGCAATAATTCACATTAAACCTAGAGAGAGATATTAAAATACAAGGTCCAATACTTATACTACTTATCAACGGTGGATGAAGAGAATGTTGGTACAGTTAAAAGCTTGATCATATGGTTGAGATATTTCTGAACTGGAGTTTCTCTCACTCCATGCAGATAAGGCTGCATGGCCATAAATGCCTTTGCCTTCATGCAGCAAGTCCTTTTCTTGATCTGTTGACCAAGTGTGAGATGCCACATCGGTCTCCAAGTCATCTGCCAACATAGCAGGTTTGCTAATAATTCCTTCTCCTCAACAACCAGCCCATCAGCTTGTAACTTCTTACTTAAAAGACACAAAAATCTTGAAACTCGTTAAAATCTACCAAAACTTAAAAAGAAAAGAAAAGATTGGTAACTAACTATAGTGCATCAAGAACAAGAATTAAACTAATCAAACACTCCAACACACGAAAAGTATAAGATGGTTATAGTTTAACAACATATAAACCTTAATTTTTTATGCAACAAGAATCACATCAAGTGTAGTAAAAGCAGAACTAAAAAAATCGGTGGCGAAATCGACTCCATGTATTTCAATTTAACCACTGAAAACCAAATGGATCAAGTACCTGGATTTCATTTCTTTTGACAGTTTCAAGTGAATCATTTGTGGACCAGTGGTTCTCTCATCAATCTGGTGGGAAAAGATCTAACCCCTAATCATGCATGCTATTGAAATTCGGACAACACATATGCAAACTCAGTTGAATCTGCAAAATGAACACTAAAATAAAAATAACTCAACTGAAATCAAAATGTTATCACTTATACGCATGAGTTCTATGTACTCGATTCTCGTTTCTATTGATTTGCTAAATAATCTCACAGCCAGGAAGTAGAAAAGTCAATTTCACATATTTTTCATACCTAATTACAAAATGGGAAAAGGAATGAAGGGAATTTCTCACCTTTTCCTCTGAAGGTCCAATGGCGATGCGTTCACCCCACTTCAAGAGGTGATTATCTATGATAACTGGTTAAATTTCGTCTTCAAAGACTTGGAAAAAGAACTCATTGCATATTTGCTCGAGGGTTTTGGGATGATTTGAGCACCACCTTCCTGGTGTTGCGAATGATCAGTTTTGCTATAAAGCCAACAGTTGGCTCCATAGTGGAGTCAACCTTCTATATAGAACAAGTAAACTTACCATATTCTTTGATTACTTAAATAACACTAATATAATTTTATTGATATGGTAGGTTTATTTGTTGTATATAGAAGGTTGGCTCCACTATGGAGCCAACTGTTGGCTTCATAGTGACCGTGCGAACGATGCATAGCTTACCACTCCTATCATTTACTGTCGGCTATTCCAACCACCTGCTTGAGGGGTATTCGTATTTCAGCCATATATTTGATTGAGTTGTGATGGAAATGAGAATGAGACTCGATTGGTGGGGGTAACTAATTCAAACTACAAGGATTTTAAGTCATTTACCAGAGTATTTTAGGAACACAAATGTAATTTTACATCTAGGTAGTTGTGGGATAATAAGATCCTACCTCCAACTCGAAACAAAAATAACAAGCCAATACATGATTTCTATGTGAGTCCCACATGTCGGAATAATCCTTGGCTTGATCAAGAATAATAAACGACATTATCTTATCTTACCCGACCTAGTACATTGGCCCAAAAGAAGATAGTTCCACTTACCAATGACCTCTTAGTCTACTGGTTAAGAGTGAGGTACCCATGGCCAGAGGTCATGGGTTCAAGCCCTCCGGAGCGCAGATGGAGGAACAATTAATACTGAGGGCTACAAGCGGTAGTGTGGGAGGCTGAAACTCGGTGGGAACTAGCGGTTGGATAGGTGGAGCCAGCATGAAACTGGGGGGGCCAGCATGAAGCAACCACTTCGGTGGGACCCTGCGGCTGGATAGGTGGGGCCAACTTGGTGCTGGGAGGGTCAGCGAGCAATCACTTGGGGGATCGACTTCTTGTGCGCGGTAGTTGAGGGTGTTAGGAACCTGGGAGCCATTGCGTGGCTACTGCGATTTAATTGGAGGCAGTTTCTAAGGAGCCGGGGGCTGTTTCCTCAAGGAATAGTCAGACGTAAGCTTGGAACCTCGGTATCCAAAAAAAAAAAAAAGATAGCTTCCACTTTGTGTGCGGTATTTCTAATTCAAACAAATATAATATATGAGGATTGACTGATTGACTACGCCTTTTGAATGCGTATGGATTTGTCGAATAAAGATCTTGATTATGGTATTCCATAGTTTCTTTTTGTAGACCATGCGTGTTTGATAATATTCACGTCATATGGTATTGTAGTGGTCCCCTGTCTCATTACTCTGTTGGGGTCTTAGATATTACCTTGTTGGGGTCTTGTAATTTGTTCCTTTGCACTTTTGTACTTTTCTATATTACCTCTCTCTATCGTTCCGGCAAAAAAAAAAAGTATTGTAGTAGTTATTACAAAACAATAAATTATTTATAACAATTATAAAAGTTTTATATCTATCTATCACATTTGTAATATAAGAACGAAATAAAAATATGTTCTTTACTTAACTATTGATGTGACGGATATATCAACATCAGTATCCTTTATGATAAAAGTTGTTTTAATTTAATGAACATTGGTTTGGATTATATAATATGACCCAATTGAATGAACTTTGGCTTGGCTCAATCATCTAACACGCTAAAAGATAAATACTATTTATGACGTTTTGGATTTCACACTATAAAATGATTTTTATATTTCAACAGATCCTACGATAATATATTATAATAAAAATTTTGACGGATATTAATTCTAATGGTAGAGCTTGCGTTGAATCATTCCAATAAAAATTTCAAAGTAAAATGCTATTGGAATGAATTTATATTGCAATATTAGATGGAATTTAATATTTTCAATGGGTTTTTACCGTAGGAATTTCGCTGGAATATGCAACTTCCGTTGGAATTTCTATTTTTACTCATATTTCAATGTTGAAAAATCTACTCTTTCAAAATCCAACAAAAATTCCAATAGAAAGACCGTTTCAATAGAATATGATTGTTGGAGTTTTCGTTAGAATCAACTGAAAAATTCTAATTGAAATAAAAGCATTGAAATTGTCATTATTAAAATTCCATTGAAATATATTTTTGTTGAAATGTCATTATTTTCTAGTATGTCAATCACTCCATATACTTTTGTTTTTGTGTTTAGCGTCCACTTAAAATTGTTTGGACTGCAATCTTCATTTTTTTTTTTGTTGGCCGAAACGATAGAGGATCTATAAAAAAATCAAGGGCACAAATGTGCAAAAAAAAATACAAAGCTCCCAACGGGAGAATAAAAAGCAACCAAAAGCTGAATAAAATGGGAGGATAGTCTGAAGACCGCCTAGAATCCGACGCTAGCAACACACTAGAAACTAAAACAAGACTCACTAGACAAACTAACACAACAAAACACAAAGAAAAACTACCAAGCTCTCAATATGAGAATAGAGACGAGAGCTGCTCCCAACAGGAGAATAGAGACGAGAGCAGCTCCCAACAGGAGAATCAAGGTGCTCCCGCTCAAGCTTAAGAGGCCAACGGCCCAAACCAAAAAACACAAGCGCCTAAACAACACAAATACAGACAACCAAACACAAACAACTAAACAACAGAAACATTAAACACTAAAACAAAAAAACCAAGCCCTTCCACTGAGGCATATCTGAGACGAACCGACAGACCCCAAATGGACCCCGGGAGAATCCCTCAGCCCAAGAAAGCCGACCCCTCCACTGCCTACTCGCCTAGCGGAGCCGGATCCCACACATCGAGATACCCCAAAAAGTCAATTCTCCCCGAAGCCCAAACTCCAGAAAGCTCCATGACGCCGCAGTATCGAGCCTACTAACACCACTAGCAACTCGGTACCAACAACAAACACACCAGGATCCCACGCCAGAGAGGGTACCCAGCCAACACAGTTCCAGACCAACTAACACCACTAGCAACTCGGTACCAGTCGGCTAGTATCCCCAAGACACAACACCATAGATTC